CCTATGTTCCTACATATCTCTACAATTTAGATTTCTAGGAAGAGTCTATGAGAAAGAGAGAGTTACAACACTTGTTTGGTTCACTATGCTTGAAATTGTAGTGCTGCAATTTCAAGTATAGTCGTTGCATCCTATGAAGTAGACACTGGTAAATCTCGAAGCACCGGAGCATGGACGAAATCTGCTTTAAGAAGATTATGTCCAACATAAGTCTCGACTAAAGAATTCAGATTTTAATTTATTAAATTATTTTCTAAATTTATTTATTCATTTATTATGATATATATATATATATACATTTATTTTGCACACACATTTACATAAAGAACCACCTGGTTCTAACTGTGATAACCCCGTCACATGTTATGCTTTTAATTCTTTCATTGTGCATGTGCTTATGGAAAAAGCTCACAAGTCCAAATTTGCAATGCATCTGAGCAATAACAAAATGTATCAAGATTTGAAGCAAAGATATTGGTGGCCTAGTATGAAGAAGGAAATTGCAGAATATGTGTCTAAGTGCCTTTAATGTCAGCAAGTCAAAGATGAACATCAAAAGCTGGTAGGATTACTTTAATCTCTCCCTATTCTGGAATGGAAATAGGAGCACATAACCATAGACTTCGTTGTTGGTCTACCTCGGACACCAAGAGGTATGAACTCTATCTGGGTTATTGTGGAAGGTTGACTAAATCTGCACATTTTCTACCTGTAAGGACTAGTTATGATACTTATAGATTGTCTACAATTTACATTGATGAAATTGTTCGTTTACATGGGGTACCAATATCCATTGTTTCAAATAGAGATCCAAAATTTGTGTTTAGATTCTGGAAAAGTCTTCAAAGAGCAATGGGAATGGAATTGAGACTTAGTTCCGCATTTCATCCACAAAATGATAAGCAATCAAAAAGAACTATTCATACTTTAGAGGATATGCTCCGAATGTGTGCTCTAGACTTTCCGGGGAGTTGGGAAACTTATTTGCCCACTGGCGAAATTTGCATACAACAATAGTTTCTACTCTAGCATTGGCATGGCACCATATAAAGCCTCATACAGAAAGAAACGTAGATCTCTGATATGTTGGATTGAAGTTGAGGACAGGGTCTTGCTTGGATCTAAAATTGTGCAAACAACCACTAAAAAGATTAAAGTCATTCAGCAAAAGCTTAAAATAACTCAAAGCCGACAAAAGAGTTATATGGATCATAGAAGAAGGACTCTTGAGTATGAAACAAGTGACCATGTGTTCATAAGGGTAATCTTGATGAAGGGTCAATCGAGATTTGGGAAGAAGGGTAAATTATCACCTCGTACATTGGGCTGTTTCAGATTTTGGAAAGGCTTCGTCTGGTTGTGTAACGAGTTGCTCTATCACCGGGAATGGAACAAATGCACAATGTGTTTTTTATGTGTAGATGTAGAGGGGCTATCTCCGAGATCTATTCCATGTTATTGATCATCACCCAATAGCCCTCGATGAGAATATGGAGTATGAAGAGAAACCGATTTAGATTATTGACCTCAAGTGAAACAGTTGCAGAATAAAGAAATCCCTATGGTAAAAGTAGAATGGAAAAAACACTACAACACGGAAGCGACTTAGGAAAAAGAAGACGAAATGAGGCAAAGGTATCCCGAGTTGTTTCCGATTCGATGTAACACAAGTTCGGAGGATCAAACTTCTTAAATGGGGGAAGATTGTGACACACTCGCCACGTATTATGCTTTCAACTCTTTAATTGTGCATGTCCTTATGTATTAAGTGTGAATTTGAATGATAGTTATGTCATTAATGTGGTTTTGACTATATATTTGTTGATCGTAGGAAAATCTGTTATGATTCCCTTTGTGATATGAAAATTGAAGGTCTTAATGACGTTAGAAACCAAAATTGGTTAGTTTATTGTGATCAACATAATTTTTAGAGCCTATTAGAAAGTTTGATTAAAATTTGATTCAATCTAAATTAATTAGATTAAATCAATTAGAATTAAGTGTGATTAGTTAAACTTAAATCTTAATTAATCTCCTAATCTAATCCACATATATATATATATGTGTGTGTGTGTGTGTGTGTGTGTGTGTGGTATAATTAGGAGTTAGGGCTCCCTTAATCATAATTGAACTAAAAAATCTGAGGGGAGAGCTCTTGAGAGAGACAGAATCAAGTTCTCGAGAGAGAAAAGGCTAGAAGACTTGAAATTTGACAAAGAAATTGGAGAATTGGGTAGAACAACTCAAGTTCTTGCCAGAGTTAGTGTTCTTGAAGATTATAGGTAAGTGTTTATACCTTGATTCATAAGTATACACCATCAAATATGTGAATTAAAGAGGATTATGTGATTATGTACAAGAATTGAGCTAAGATTGTTGAATTTAGAGTCAATTCATACATGCATGCATAGTTTTGTTGAGTTTCACCATTTTTGGAGCATGATTATGTCATCCATGTTAAGTTTTGAAGCTATCTTCTACATGCATTCATGAATTATGAAGTTTAGAGCTTAGTTCCATGATTTACAAGGTTTTTGAAATGAATTGCATATTTCTGAAGCTTTGGAAAAGAGTATGGAAACAATTGATACATGCATGAACGTTTGAGTTTGAATTCTTGGGGGTTTGGGCTTTTATTTTTTCAAATTGGCTTTGTATTCATGTTTTTGGAATATTTTCTAAGTGTTTTCAAAGTTTTGTCAAGCCGTGCAAAAAAATGATTTGAAAATACAAGCTTTGAAGCTCAACTCCGTTATGTTATTTCCAAATTTCTGCCTCACCGCTCGAGCGAACAATTCGTTGCTCAAGCGCACATTTCATGCATCCAGTATTTTTGTAGACAATTGCAGTTGGCTCAAATAACCAAGTCATCGCTCGAGCAACTGCCTTTTATTTTGCACCTTGGCTTGAGTGAACATCGAGCCTAGATTCGAACCATCCAGTACTTTTACAGACCAAGTGGTCTGCTCGAGCGACCAATGTTACGCTCAAGCGAAGTGCCCTATTTCAGTGTATTTTGAAAAGACATATTCTGATCAAATGTGCATTCTTATTCCCTCGGCATTCTTAGGCATGAATTGAACATCCTACATGAATTAAAGAGTCAAAAAAAGTCTAAGAGAATTGAATATATTAGAGAACGATTTGAATATGCAATATGACCTAATGTGTGTATGTGTTTATGAATTGTGTAGGGTCATCTATAAGGACAAGTCAACAACCGAATTACTGTAAGTAATATCTTAGTAAAGATATTTTCTTAATTACTCTATTTTCTGTATATCCTACTATGTTATGTTTTTCGAACTAAATAAGTTCCTATCTGTCTAATCAACATGATATCTGTAAATACGATTGATATGAGACGAATGTGTATGATGGACCTAAGGTCATTCTATATAACTGAATTGGCCCGAGGTTGTTCCGAATATCTGACAAGATGGACCCAAGGTCATTCTGAATATTTGGTAAGTCTAATTATCTGTTATGAGTTAACCGAATACAGCTGTAAATAATTGGACCCAAGGTCATTCCGTTAAGATATAATCAATTATGTCGTGTACATCTGTTATCTATTGGACCCAAGGTCGTTCCGCTATCTGTTGGTCCCAAGGTCGTTCCATTATGAATTGTTTATGATATGGAAATGCTTATGTCACTTAATAGAACTTATTTACATAACCCCTTTACTCTGATTTTATTCACTAAGCGTTAATTCACTCCGTTATATATATATATATATATATATATATGTATATAGCTGAGCAGCGGGATGTCCAACCCAAGCCTTAGTGAACTTGTGAAGGATACGAAGTTTTGTGAAGTCTGTCATGAGCGCTTCACGAGCAAAGCTTTTGTTCCTTTTGTTCTTTGAATTTCTGTCTTCTTTTATTGGTCATGTTTGACCTTGTATATATATATATAAGTTCTGGTTTTATATGATAACGATGTAAGAAAGATCTTGGACATATGAAATCCTGTTATGTATGTATGAGTATGAGTTATTAATATATAAGAAGTTTTGTTTATGCCATTTATACGTGAGCTCATTGGACAAATAATATATTTCTACTTCCGCTTCTGGCCCTATATAATTAAATATGATTGAATTTCTGTCTAAGACCATAAATAAGTCAGTTATGATCCGAATTTTTAGGAGCGAATTCGAGTCATGACACTAACAGTTCATTCTAATCAACTTAAAATAAACACTAAGCAAATTAAGAAAGAATCCCAAATCAAGCCAAACTAAGTTGGCAGGACAACACTACCAAAACAATAAAATGATTACACCCAAACACAACTACACACCCAAACTCAAGACAATCACCAAAAAGCTTCAATGGAACAGTCCAGTAAAAAAAAAAAAAAAAGACAGTGTCCAGCAATGTCTTCTGAAATGGACAAGTCCTTTCAAAATAATCACTCAGTTTTGGGGCTTCCATGCCTAACTATGTTGCTTTCTGATTAATAAAGCCATAACACTTACCAAAACAAATATCTCTTCCTTCATAAAATCCCAACATCATAAAAATCGAATTGAAGCAATACCATTCTCAGCATATTCATCAATAAGGAGAGTCTGGCACTAAGTTAATTTTATTTTTTAACGAAATTCTACTTTCTTTGTACATTCTTGTACATTCTACTTTCTTTGTACCTTTAATTTTATTTTTTCTCTCCTTGTACATTCTACTTTCTTTGTACCTTTAATTTTATTTTTTAACGAAAGTTTTCTTTGTTGATCAAATAAATAAATAGACATCTAGGAAGGCTCTAGATTCAACCATTCCCAAATTTAAGTTTATTCATGCTTTACTTTCCTTCTTATAATATTTTATTTATCTAATAACATATTACTTCTTTTGTCGATAAGGGAAAGAAAAAAAAAAGTTATAAATTTAAACTTAGTGTAAACCCATTACTAAATTTGGTTATAAGCATACTTTTTTATGGTGACTAGTATATATATTTGATAGAAAGGATTAATGTGACAAAACGAGACAAAAGAAGAGAATCCCATTATTACCATTTGTAGCTATGTACCCAAAAAATAAATAAATAAATCAAAGATCTCTAATAACGTGACATATAGAAAAATTCCTAAGAACAAGCTGGTGCTTTGAAATCTTTAAGAGTTGCAAAAACAATAGAATCAGGTGCAACACTGATGGGGTTTGAAGCATGCACGAGCACTGGATACATAGCTGGTATATCCTTTGACTCTGTGAGCACCAACGGGACACCATTTAACATCAACACATCACTTTGAATATTGCCATCCTTTGGAGTCAAGTGGTACTCTTCCCTGTGGATTTGTTGTTGGTTATCATCATAGTTGTCAGGATAGAAATTCAAGTCATCCGCAACCGAAACTTCATAGGTAGTAGAATTTGACATGTTGATTAGAAGCAGTGAAATGCCCGACTGAGATAAAATAGAGTAAATGAATTTAATTAATGAAGTGATAGCTAAATGCTATATTATTGAGATGAAAGAGAAATTAAGCTAAAAAAGGTTAAGAATATTTCGCTTACTTCTTTCTTTGAACAATGAGAATATACTCGTAGATAAGGGGAACTGTCATAAGTGGTCTGAAGTACAATCTTTCCCATTAAGCGATGCCACAGAAGAGCACTGTAGAAGAGCCAACCAAACATTAATATAGAATAAATGTGTCAAAATGATAATTTCAGCTTTATTAAATAGTAAAGGGTATTAGAAAATCTCAATATTGACTAACCCGTAATAATCCGGATTAGGGATAAATGTTGTAGTGTTGAGAAGGCCATAATTTCCTCCAATCAATGCCTGTCTGCAAAAAACCTTGTGGTTGAAGGTTGATGTCATGCCCAATTGATCCAAATACCTGTTTCACTCAAAGTTTATTTACCTAATTCTATGTTTGATATAGCACATATATGTAAATGCAACACTATTATATTTGCATGAGAGAGAATAAAATTGTGACCAGAATCCATCAGCAAAGGTATGTGATACATCTTTGCCACCACTGTTGTAAGCTCCACCAGCTTCCCCAACCCATGCCCCTGCCCATGGGCCAAACAAGTTGATAGTTGTTGAAACATCTTTGTATGTCTGAGCTATTTGGTCAAGAAAATATGGATCTTGAACCTTGTAGATTAGGTCGGAATCAACACCTACATGACCAGATATATTGATTTGCAAACTCAAAAGATCATTATAATTGAAACATGTTTGATTATCAAGTGCTAAATTTTAAGTACTTATATATACCTGCTCCAAGGTTGTAGATATGGTGGGTTAAGCCATCAACAACACCTGGTCCTGTAACCTGAAGAAAGTCATTAAACCATTTCTCATTATAGAAGCCTGCTGGTCCTAAGATCTTCGGCTGCGTGCCTTCGTCTGGGTACAATTCTTTCACAAGCTCCTTGAGGGCAATAACGTCTTTTCCATACTGGGAAGAATCTAATCTTGCAGCAACCCCAGTTCCACACAACTCATTTCCTAGGAAAAAAAACCAAGTCAGTTCATAATTCATTGCTTAAAACGTAAAATGTGCACAACGGTAGGTAACATAGAAATTCTAATTTATTTGGTTACCAAGTTCATATGAGTCAATCTTGTATCCCTTTGAGATAGTATAATTCATCAGATCGCGGGCGTTTTGATCATCCCAATCGCCTATCCAAAGAGAGCCATCGTTCTCAGATTTGTTCCTCCCAGATAGAGCATTCAACCCAAATGTTACTATAGCTCTGCAAAGATGGTCATGAAATGTTACAAATAGTTTTCCCAAGTAGTATTAGTTGTTCAGAAAAAGCAAAAGTGAAATGAATATGGTGTTATTAGTGTGACTAGGGTGGGGTAGGGTACCCAGTTTGTGTGAATAGGTGATTGAGATTATCCCATTTCTTCATAGGGAGGCAACCTTGGCTAAATCCAAACAAGCCACCTTGTGTCTTCTTAAATTTTGGGCATTTATTGACTGCTTTTCCAACTTCGTACACAACCTGATCTTGCAGTGAACCTCCCACTCTGATTCGAAGAGTCTTGAATGCTGCAATTTTCACAATAAACTGTCAATTCAATTCAGGCTGTAAATTTTGGGCATTTATTGACTGCTTGTCAATAATGGAGGTCAATGGATGTCTGAAAGAATTTCTCATACGAATGAGTAACTCTATGATTGAATGAGTGTATGTAAAAAGGGTGTATGCACACTTTTAAATTTTTTATCATAAAAGGATATACTCGGAATAATTATGTCTACTTGTGTGTGGAGTGACAAAATTATAATTTATTAAGTGTTGAATATAGAGGGATGTTCACAGAGGTTATGTTTGATTCACAAGACTATCTATTGTTTGTTTTGTATTGAATAATAAAATATATGAATTTAGAATTACAACTATATTTATCTTCTTTTCTAATCTTACCCTCCATCAATATTTCTTCACAATTTTTACTTTATCAAAATTTCTTCATAAACGTAGTTTTGAAAAAAATTAAGTAAATAAATAAAAGCAAAATAAAAATACAAAATGCAAAGGCCATGTTTGGTTTGTTTTTTAATTTTTTTTTCAAAAAATATAAACTAATTTGATAAAATAAATATCAAAAATTATTTTTAAATTTTTAAAAATTATTTTTAGCCTTCTAAAATATAAAATTATATAAAAATAATAAGTGTTTTAATTTTTTTCCTTTTATCCGATTGGATTAGTAAGATAAACTATCCCCTTATCCATTGTTTGATTTGTATTAAATAATAAAACATATGATCTTTTCCAATCTTACCTCTATCAATATTTCTTCACAATCTTTAAACGTAGTTTTGAAAAAAATTATAAATTAATAAAAGCAAAATAAAAATACAAAATACAAAGGCCATGTTTGGTTTGTTTTTTAATTTTTTTTTCAAAAAATCTAAACTAATTTGATAAAATAAATATCAAAAATTATTTTTAGCCTTCTAAAATATAAAATTATATAAAAATAGTAAGTGTTTTAATTTTTAGTCAAGGGTAAAAGAGTCTTTTTATTTGATTTCTCAACTCAGGATATATAATCTTATCCCTACCTTATTACTAATAATCCTACAAATTTGTTGGATTAATTATCCATTGGATTAATAATCCTGAAACAAAATTTCAAAACAAACATATGATTGTTGGGCACACGGATTAATAATTTCAACCACATACTCTAACCCTATCAATCAAATACCCTAAGGCCATGTTTGTTTGGATGGACATGAGCTTGGGATTGGACTAATAATCCAATAAAATTATTAATCCGATGTTTGGTTAAACAATTGAAGTACGGATTAATTATTTTAAACTTAACTATTAGTTAAGATAGGATACATAATCCAACGAATTCGTAGTCCTAGGACTATTAGTCATGGGAATGCTAATCCAGTCCGCCCAAACAAACATGGCGTAAGAGTAAATGGTATGTGAAAATAAAACTTACCATTAAATACTCAAATATGTTTCTAATGCAGTTATGGTGTAAATAAAATATAATATGATGATGTTATGTTTGTAATAGAAATATGCTTGTTCCTACGATCACTTTCTCTGATTTCCAATACATTAATTATATTAATATATATATATATTTAACCCGAAAACTGGCCTGGTCTGGGATACTTTAACTGCTTCTTGCTAATAACTAATCTAGCATTAAATTATTTTTCCGTGTTTTAATTGTAAACTTGTAGTTTGATATTCATAAAACACAACACAATCATGCTTGATAGCAATAATCACTAACACAATCAATAAAAAAAAAAAAAAAAATTATAGACCAACTCGACACATGAATGTAGAGCAAGAAAAACATATTAATTTATTTACCTTTGATAGCATTGGCTAGAATCTTGTTATCTAAATCCTGCAACAATCAAACAATTATTTTTTATTTTTTATTTTTTTCAAGTAAAATTTAAAAGTGGAATAATATGGAGAGAAAAATACCAGATTCAAGATTCCAGCCTCCTGCCATGGACACTGATTGTAATCACACTTATTCGCAGGCCACCAATCCAACGTTACACATACAAAATTATCGTCTGTTTTAGCGATAGAGGTCACTCCTTGAACTTTCACTTTCACTTCTTCTATAGAAGAGAGTGACACACAAAACAATGACTGAATAACACAAAACAATATTATTGCAACTCTCAAATCCATTTTTCCAAATTTTCTTAGCAGAGAACAAAAAAATAATTCAAGAAGAAAGTAGAGAGAATGAAATTAAATACTACGATCTGAGCATCCTAATTTAAGCAACCTGATAACAACAAAACTTCAACATATCTATCCATATCTATAACTATATCATTTTATCCCTTTTTAAACTTATCTTTTGTTTTTTTTTTTTGATGGATAAGCAATGTAGTTAACTATATCTATTATACCTTATCTACTTAATTATCTTGTTTTTATAAAGGTCGAATCTATTACAATTTATTATGATGAATTATTTAGTTTGTAATGGGTTTAGAACTATTGATTTGATAATGTAAATTATTTCCCAATCACTTCAAGGTTAGACTTTTAATTCTCCAGCCTATACAATATATCAAAGTTTCATAAAGCATTAAGACAAAGAACATAAGGTCATGAAAATCAAAATAAAAAATTATTATTTATTTTCAAAGCATTATATGACATTGTAAATGCGTATTAAATAAGTTATTTTTGATCTCTTAACTATCTAATATGAGTTAACATGTTTTATTTGTAAAATTATTCACCATGTAATTAATTTAAAACAAGAATAATGTTACGTAATCTTTTATAACTATTAAAATATGTTATGTACCAAATTTAATATAGGGGTACTTTGGAAAAATAGTTAAAAATTAGTTTTTTTTTTTTTTTTTTTTTAAAGTAAGTGGATTAAAAATTAAAAAATGACTTTTAGCTCACTTCTCAAAATAGAATGTAATCTAATCTGATCTATAGTATATAAGTGGAGTTCTGTACTTATATTTTTAGAATACCACCTGACAAGGGCAAAAAAAATTGGCCCACGTTATTCACTTTTTTTATATTCCAATTAAGTTCCTCGTTTATATGAAAGTCCTAATATATATATATATATATATACTAAAAATAGGAAATCATATCTTATCATATATATATATATATATATTATTAAAAGTAGTATTTTTTTCATATTTAGGTGACACATTACAAGGGTTTCCTTTTTTCTAACAGATCCACGCCAGCATCAACCACTTTTTTTTTATATTGCTTTTTTATTTTTTATAAATTTTTATCTCTTTTAAATAAACCCACACAAATCACAATTTCAATTACACAATACTTCTTTCTTTTCACAAACTCAGACAAACTCAAAAACTCAATTCAAGTTTTACATAAAATCTAATTACAAATCCTATATGGATTATACTTTGAAAATCTTCCCTCTATCATTCTATACAATTACAACTCACCAATTATATTTTAAAATGGATAAATTATGCAAATGGTCCCTATAGTTTACACGATGTGTCAATCTGATCTATGTTATTTCAATTTGCTTGATTTTGTCCCTTAATTTGACAAATTGTGTCATTTTAGTCCAATAAATAACGGTTGTTAAGTTTGGTGGACGAAAAGTTTACACAATGTGTCAATTTCGTCCATATAGTTTACACAATGTGTCAATTTGGTCCCTGTTGTTTTAATTTGCTCGATTTTCACAGGGACTAAATTAACACATTATGTAAACTATAGGGACCAAATTGACATATAGTTTGACTTTCCGTCTACCAAACTTAACAACCGTTATTTATTGGACTAAAATGACACAATCCGTTAAATTATGAGGCAAAATCGAACAAATTAAAATAATAGGAACCAAATTAACACATCGTGTAAACTGTATTCACTATATCATTTTATACCATCAGAAAACCTATACAAATTGTAGGATTCCCTCTCTCACTTCCTTCACCACTGCCCAAACTCCTCTTCCCCTCCCTCCCTCTCTCTCTCTCTCTCTCTTTCCGAAACACATTTCCATCACTAATCTCTCGAAAATTTGTATTGTTCGATTTTTAAATGTCTTATTCACACGTAGACAAAGTGTCTCTTCCCTATAAGTCCTCCCCCTCTCTCACTCTCTCTCTCTATTTGTTTCTTGGTTGATTTTTTTTTTATTTTTTTAATGCAAATATATATTCTATATAAAATTGTGGGTTTTTACTCTTTTTTTTTTTTCTTTTTCTTTTTCTTTTTCCCCTCTCTATGAATTTCTTTAGTTTTGTTTAGCACTCAAACCTATAATTTAATATCATATAAATTTATTGTATATATTCATTTAAGTTATATTTTTGTAGCATGAAATGTTAAAATTATAAAATGAATGTTTTTTTTTTGTGTTATAATTTAATATAATTTAAAATTATATATATATTAATTTAATTTATATTTTTGTGTTATATTTTTATATGCTTATTATTTTGTGTTATCATGTCGTGCCATTTTTGATCCGTGTCCAGTTCGTGTTGTAATTAGCACGAAAGATTAAAATTATCAAATGAATGTTTCTTTTTTGTGTTAAAATTATTATATATATTTATTTAATTTATGTTTTGTGTTATATTTTTATTATTTTGTGTTATCATATCACGTCATTTTTTATCCATATCCGATTTGTATCGCGTCAACGTGTCATATCAAAAAATTTCACTATTAACTAAAAATATAATAACCAATTTTTCTTTTATATAATTGATATTTTAATTTAATTATTATGATATTTAAAAAATAATTATCTCGATATACAAATAAATAAATAAATAAATAAGATAAAATGTGTTTAATTATGTATATCGTACTGATCAAATTAATTTTCTTTTCTATCTTTTATTTTTTGTCTATATTATTGATGTTTTAATATTAATTTACATTTAATTTTTTATTTAACATGAAATTATTTATTACAAAAAAAATTATATTTAATTTAAATTTTATATACCTATAACAATATGTATGAATAATTCAAAAAGAAAATTAAAGAAAAAATCAATACTCTACATAGTAAATTTATGTATTTGTTTCATAATCCAATCACAACATATTTGTATTTAATCTTTAAAATAAAATTTGTGTAGATCTATTTATACATAATTTTATTTTTCAAATAAATATAAAAATAAAAATAAAATTAAATAATTAGAATCAATTTTAGTTTTATACTACTAACTCTTTTTCTAATTTAACAATTATTTTTAATATCAAAATGAGTGTTTATTTATTACCTTATAATTTGATATATATCATATAAAATCATTATATAATAATTACACTTTTATAATAAAATTGAACTAAAATTATTAAAATAAATAAATAATCTAACTAAATTTATTATACATAAGTATTCAATTAACACTTTTATAGAACGATATAGTCAAAATTATTAAAATAAATAATTAAGATTCATATTATTTTTTTTAACACATATCATAATATAATATACTATGAGTGTCACGACCCAAACCCGCCCCTATGGGTTTAGCACCGTAACCGGCCAGTAATCCGAGATTACCGAAGGCCTGCTTAACAGTAATACAGTAATACAGAGTACAGGGGCTGGCGGAAGCCAATACAGTAAATAAACAATATCCAATGAGCTGTGATAATCTGAATGCAAAAAGACTCTTCATTCATATATATACAATCAGACAAGACAGTACGTACATAAATACATTCATTCAGTTCAGGGACCTAATCCCCATTAAACAGTACGGTAACAGTCTACACAGTCGTGCAAAATAGATACAGAGACAGACGGGAAAATTAAAAACACCCCTAAGCCGTAGCTTGACAGGCTCGGAACCTCGCATTGAGGCACATAGGTTGGCTCGACAAAACTGGAGTTTACCCCGACGCTCCTAGCTGCGGTCTGGTGCCTGTACACTTACATATAATATGAGCAGTGAGCTAAAGCCCAGTGAATAACACAATGTGTAAAGGGGTTAAAAATGAATGTCCTTACAATAATGAAAACAGTTCATTAATTCAGTATATCAGTCATTCAGTCATATGTGGTACATCCATTAGCTTAACAATACAGTAAACAACAAGTCTTAAAAGACCAAACAGTAAATGATGGCCATCAGTCAGTAACAGTAGTGGTTCCAACAAGGGAACCGACAGAGATCTCTATAACAGTAACGGTAAACAGTAGTAGCTAAGGATGCCACAATACAGTTCAGAATATAGGGCATGCATTCATTCAAATAACAGTATCAGTTCAGAAAGCAGTACGGTTCAATTGTTCAGAAGATAATCATTTTGAACATATCTTTACACAGTTGTTACTCACAGAGTTCTGGGCTACAGTAAAGCTAGAGCGCGTCCCCAGTCACCAACCCTATACAGTTACAGATTGAACACACACTAAGCTACACAGTTGGGAAAGATAATAACTTAATCCCTAATTTGCCTCGGTGTGGTTCTACATTTATATCCTCATTAAGATGTTTTAAACTAGGCCTAAGAATGCCTAGGATGAGATGAGGATGCAAAGATGCACTTGAAAAACATTTTCAGAATTTTCAGAAAACAGGGGGTCACGCTCGAGCGTAGGTTACTCCGCTCGAGCGGACATGCAGACAAAGGTTTCCGCTCGAGCGTAGACTTACCCGCTCGAGCGTTCTGTAAAACAGTAAAAAGTGCTGGATAGGCGAAAATCACGCTCGATTGGGCGCTCAACACCCGCTCGAGTATGAGACACAATGTCCCGCTCGAGCGTCAATTATTCCGCTCGAGCGGACTTCAAAACAGAACAAAATGCTGGGAGCACGATTTCCATGCTCGAGCACCAGTCACCCCGCTCGAGCGTGAGTCCAAATTCTGGAAATTCCAGATTTGAACCTCAAGCTCAAAACCAAGTTTTAAAACATAAACTCCGATCCTCTTGGGCCAATTTTTCAGAAAACACATCAAAACTCATACTTTAACATGATTCAAAGCTCAATTTGTAAAATCAAAGCCCAAGGGTGTTTCAAATAAATCCAATTCAACCCAATTTCCATGAATATGAAGAACATGCAAACATGCATGAATTTAAATCATTTCAAAGCTCCAATTTGATGCTCTAAGGAGCCAATTGTTCCAAAAACAAGATGAAAACATGAACTTAACATAACCATGAGCATGAGCATGCAAGTGAC